TCTCTCTCTCTCTCTCTCTCTCTCTCTCTCTCTCTCTCTCTCTCTCTCTCTCTTCCCTTCTCTCCTTGCCACCTCCCACCCTCTTTGAAAAGACAAAGAACATAATTCTGTAGAGGCTTTCACACTGGCCCTGTGCACTTGCTGGGCCAGAGGAAATGTTTTGAAAATGATTCCCATTGATTTTGGCCGATTGACTTTCCTCAGCACACTCAGGATGGAATGCCCAAAGCGTTTGTAAGAAGCAAGGCCCTGAGCTTTGTCTCTGTTTTCAGCTAATGAATCCTCAGTGCGGTAGTCAGCATTGTAGGCTTTGGAAGAAAGTAGTTTTTAATAAATCTCAAATGAGAAAAAGGACTCATTACTAGGTCATTGATGACCCATATTTGGAAAAATGTAGAGAAATCCACATTACCAAGAGAAGCCTGTTTTGTGAAATAAAGGCTCTCCTTACTCTTTAGGAAAGGGACATAGAGGAGCCACTTCTCAACGCCCATGGGACAGCCCAGTATGCCATGTACAGTTGTTCAGCTGTGCATTGCTGAAAGCTAGTTTACAGTCCATTCCCTAAGGAGCGCACGCATCTTTGGGGCTACATCCAACCAGAGAGAGTATCCTTTCCTGTTCTTATAAAACTGTCATATGGATTAGGGGACCCTGGAACTAAGGCTGGGACCCTTGCAGCGACGCAAGCAGTGACTCCATAAGACTCTCTGTAGATAATCACCCGCCACTGCCAAGGAGCGCTTTTAAAGGATACCAGGAACTCAGAGGGGAAGGAACATGTTCATCTCCCTTAAACTCCAAGGAGCTGGTCCCAGAAGCTCTAAATGGGCAGCCAAAGTGGAGGTGTGACACATCAGAGCTAACAGGCAGTGAAGCTCTGTACACACCTTTTGTACAGCGAGCCTCAGTCCAGAGCAGACAAATGGTGACAGATCTGAGCAAAAGAATCAGAGAGCCAACAAAACAACCCTCACCTCCAAGAGCAATAAGCAGAAAACAACGGTGGCTACATCCTGAGGAAGCGGGCTCCTTACTAACAGGGACGAGTGGTCAATCATAGGTCTTTTGGTCAAACCTGTAATACAAAAACTATTCACATGTGGTCGACTTTCATTCACCCATTTAAGGTGCCTGGTGTTCTAACTGTTCAGAAGTTTTTTACCTTGTTGGTGAAACAAAACATGCACACAAAAGTTTTGGAGATAAGTAAAAGAGAGTTGGTAATGAAGCATGAACTTAAATAAGACAAAGTGCCCAATATGTATGAAAAAGACTAGTGGTTTCCAAATTGTGACTGTGGAGCCCCAGGAATTTTGTACTTTCCGAGCATGTAGGGAGGGGAAGGGAGGTGGCCAATACGTTAAGGTTTCACCTTCCCACCACTCCTCTCATCCAGGGGGATCCAGTTTCATTTATTTGATTCATTTTTCTTTTCATTCATTTATTAAGTGCTTGCTTCTATGGCTGGACACTATTCTAAGCTCTTTACGTGACTGTTAGGTTCCATTCTCCCTCAAGTTCTCTGAGATAAATGCTCTAATTATCTCCGTTTTACTGACACAGAAACTGAGGCACATGTATGTTATACACTAACATACAGACACTGAGGAGCAGGAAAGGCACTTATCTGAAGCCAATCAAGAAAGATTTAGGAAAACGGAGAGGAAGAGCCTGGATGCTCTCCATAGGCTGCAAACAGGGACGAGGCAGAGGAGCACAGCAGACACATGAGGAGCAGAGAGAGCTGGTTTTCTGCGGATTTGTGAAGCGGGTTCAAGGAACCGAGGGATAACACGGAACAAGGGCTGTAGGGAGAGCAGGCCAAATGGGGGCCAGGAAGGCAGGAGAGAAGGCTGGGGAGGGAATGGCTTTATGAGGACACATGAGAGAGGATGTAAGATCAAGGGCAAGGGAAATGGGGC